CCTAGCGCAGCGCGAACTCGCTCTGAGCCTAGCGCAGCGCCTCGGAAAACACCATTTTGGCTCGCCAACAAGCCCTCCGCGCCCCCACACCGTTAGGATAATACATTTTCATCTTTTTTCGCTTCGCTGCGCGGCCTGGGGATAGGTAGGTAGGTAGGGCGTATTGGCGCGAGTCAGTAGGTAGGTAGGTAGAAAGGTGAAGAACAGCCAGGCTCGGACTGGACACCAACGCGGTATGGGTGGACGCTAGACAGATGAGGACGACACGCACGAGCGACACACAGACACAAACAAGCTCACAAGACACACAGCCAGCTGGCTGCCAGTCGGACAGACCCCCTATCCGGGTAGGAGCCGGAACCCAGCATGCCTAAGCTTCTTGTGACAGGCTTCATCGGAGGCCATGTGGCTCGCGTGGCGCTGCTCTCAGGCCTCGCGGTCAGAGGCACGGTGCGCGGCACAACGCATGGCATCGACAAGGTGCTCACGGGGCTCGAGGTCGTGAAGGTCGATCTACTCCACGACAGCGAGGCGGAGCTGGTCGCGGCGATGTCGGGCTGCACCTACCTCGCTCACGTTGCGTCGCCCTTCCCAGGTGGCGATGTGACTGACGACGAGATGAGGACTGCTCTCGAGGGCACCGCCAAGGTGCTGCGTGCGGCGGCCGCGGCAGGCGTGAAGAGGGTCGTCCTCACGTCGAGTGTGGCCGCGATCGGCGGCTCGGAGGACAAGGCCAAGGGAACTGCGAGCCGGCCGTTCACGGCTGAGGACTGGTCGCCAGAGACCATGCCGTCTTCGTACGCCGTCAGCAAGACGCGAGCCGAAAAGGCCCGCCTCCGCCTCTGCCTCCGACGCCGCCGCCGCCGCCCACCCCGCCCTGCCGCCTCTTCCGCCGCCCACACACGTCGCCCAGCCGCCTCTTCCGCCGCCGCCACCGCGCCACCTCTGCCGTCGCAGGCTGCGTGGGCGCTTGCTGGCAGACTCGGCCTCGAGATGACCACCATCCACCCGTCCTTTGTCAACGGGCCGCTGCTGCTGCCGCGCTCGCCAACGTCGACCGCCATGGCGAAGCGCATTCTCGAGGGCTCGATGCCCGCCGTGCCCGCCATCGGCATGAACGTCTGCGGCGTGCAGGACGTCGCGGAGGCGCACGTCAAGGCGGTGCTGGACCCGTCCACGGCGGGGCAGCGGCTGATCGTCGCCGCGGGCAACCTGCTCATGACGGACCTGGCGGTCGCGATCAAGGAGGCGCATCCGGGGTGGCCGATCAAGACGGCGCGCATCCCCTGGGTGGCGATGTGGCTCTACTCCTTCTTCGACAAGCAGGCGGCGGGCGTGCTTCCGATGTGGAAGAAGGAGAGCTACTACGACGTCTCGGCGGCGGAGCAGCTACTCGGACGGCCGCTCCAGCCGCCGATGGAGGCGGCGCTCGAGATGGCGGCGAGCATCATCGAGCTGGGGGTCGCGTCGCGGCCGCAGGGGGCGGGAGTCGGTGCCGTCAAGGAGGAGTCGTGAGAGCTGGCAGCTCCAGCTGTGCTAGCTCTGGCCTCTGCGCGGAGACTCAGACTGTCTGTACAGACGCGACGTGCCTAGCTCGAGAGACTGCCTGTAGCCTGACTGGCCCACATGTCTGGCAGACTCTCGGCAGCCAGAGCCTAGAGCTAGACACGAACTAGCCTGTAGCAGCCTAGGCTGGTGTAGCCTTTAGTAGCCACGGGACGATGCATCGCGCCCATGCCACCGATGCCACACGCCCTCGAGTGGTATGCGATATATTTGAATGCCATTTGCCGTTGCCATTCTCGCGAACGGCGAAGATATTTTTTCGCGACGCGTGTGACTCCGTCCCGTGTCGTGTCAGGTGATGTCTGCAGTCTCTCGAGAGGGGGACGAGACTCAGAGAGAGAGCAGAGAGATTTTTATAGCAATACCAAACAACTCTAACCGCACTCACACGTGTCATCGTTGTTGTACTTGCGTTGACCGTTGTAGACTCAGTCTGGTGAGTGGAGCGAGTCTCTTGTGAGCGTGGAGGCTGCAGCGGACAGCGGTGCAGGGCGCAGGGGGGCCGCCAGGGCGTGGCGGCTCGTGACGCCCTCCGACCGCTGACGGCTGGGTCCTGGGACGGCGTGACGGGTGACGCTGACGGCAGTCGGCAGACGGGGGGCGCCTCCTCGAGCTCGACGCCTACCTGGCCGCCTAGCTCGACGCTCCGCGAGCGACTGAGGACTGAGTCTGGACTGTGGCGGGACGTGGGAGTCAGACGAACGATAAGCAGAGAAATACCCGAAACGCGAAGCGCACACTCCTACTTGCGCTATCTCTCCTGTGAGAGACACTACTCGCCGTCTCTGCCGTGCCTTTGCATGTGTATTGCGACTCTTCGTGACCCCCGCCGTCACTGGTCACTCTCAAGCGCCAAACCTAACGCGCCTAGGCCGCCTCGGGGCGCGCGCCCTCCTGCTGCGGCTATCGCGCGCCCGAGCGCGGCGGAGGGGGAGGAACAGCTCTAGTACTCCTCCTCCTCGCCGTCGCCCTCGGCCGAGTCGGCGCCGACCTCCTCGTAGTCCTTCTCGAGGGCGGCCATGTCCTCGCGCGCCTCGGAGAACTCGCCCTCCTCCATGCCCTCGCCGACGTACCAGTGCACGAAGGCGCGCTTGGCGTACATGAGGTCGAACTTGTGGTCGATGCGCGAGTAGATCTCGGCGATGCAGGTCGTGTTGGACATCATCGTGACGGCGCGCATCACCTTGGCGAGGTCGCCGCCCGGCACGACCGTGGGCGGCTGGTAGTTGACTGCGCGGGGAGGGAGGAGGGGGGGGGGGGGGGGGGGGGGCGCACTTGAAAACCGCTCCCGCTAGTGAGGGGAGGGAAAAACCCCTCCCCGGGCAGGGGGATTCCCCCCCTCGTTGGAGGGGGGGGGGGGGAACTCCTTGCCGCATTTTAAAGCGGGGGGGCCCCAGTCGACCAACTGGATGGGGCCCTTCGCCTTGATGGGGGCGACCCCCCAATTGACGTCCTTGGGGCCCCCGACCCCCCCGTACATGAGGAATCACGCCTTTTACTTGCCGGGGGGCGGGTCTACCTTAAGGGGGGGGGGGGGGGGTCTTGTCTCCCCAAAAAAAGAACACTCCAACCAGAAAAGCCTGGCGCCCTCTGGGCTTTTTAAAGGTTCAAACCCGGGGGGGGATCCATCCCTTTAAGAACACCAATGACGGTTTAAAAAAAGGGTTGGGGATTCCCCAAAAAGGAACTTTTTCCTGGAAA